AAGGTAAGTCTAACTACAGAGTACCAGTAGACACAGACAATGAAAGGTACATTGAAGGTACATTGACAATAAAAGGTACATACAACGTAAGTCTTCCTACATGGTATCATTAGACACAGACAATAAAAGGTACAAACAAGGTAAGTTTAACTACAGAATACCATTAGACACAGACAATGACAGGTACATACAAGGTAACTCTAACTACAGAGTATCAGCAGACACAGACAATGAAAGGTACATACAAGGTACATTGACAATTAAAGGTACATACAAGGTAAGTCTTACAACAAAGTACCAGTAGACACAGACAATGAAAGGTACATACAAGGTAAGTCTAACTACAGAGTATCAGCAGACACAGACAATAAAAGGTACATACAAGGTACATTGACAATAAAAGGTACATACAAGGTAAGTCTAACTACAGAGTACCAATAGACACAGACAATTAAAGGTACATACACGGTAAGTCTAACTACAGAGTATCAGTAGACTCAAACAATGACAGGTACATACAAGGTAAGTCTAACTACAGAGTACCAGTAGACACAAACAATTAAAGGTACATACAAGGTAAGTCTAACTACAGAGTATCAGCAGACACAGACAATGAAAGGTACATACAAGGTAAGTCTAACTACAGAGTACAGTAGACACAGACAATTAAAGGTACATACAAGGAGGTAACTTTAACTAAAGAGTATCAGCAGACACAGACAGTGACACATTTCCGTTAAACCGACGGGATATTACTGATGGGTTTAAACCGTTTGTTGCTAAATAGCTGTGTTAGTTATGATATGCACTTTAGTACCTACTTTTTGACATTATTGATACAGGTATGTGAAATATATCGGGTTTAAGATATACACTGTTGAGGGCAAGATAGTTGTTTACAAGTTTTGGTGCTTTTACCCAGCGCTAGCGCCCGTTTAAAATGGTTTACTGGTAAATATAAATTGTTCTTCCTGTATATATAGATATTGTGGTTGTTGGTTTTTGGTGGGTTTTTTAAGGAATTTCAATTATATATGTCACTTGGAATATGAATGAACACACACACACCACTCATTCACTCATGCACACCATTTATCATCATCATCATCATCATCATCATCATCACTATTTCATGATTATTATCGTCCTCATGATCTTTTAACATCATCCTCATCATTATCTCGCCATTCATCCTCATCATCATCATCTTAACATAATCCTCATCATCATCATCATCATCATTTCATAAATATCATGATCATTATTACACTGTTTCATAATCATCATGGAGTTCCTCCTTTATTATATCATTCAGAATAAAAATGGTTTTCTGATAGTATTTTTATATAAAAAACAGTTCTTCCTCCTATCTTGATTTTATTATTGTACCAAATGGGAACTTTCAATATGTTTAAAATGTTTTACTGGTAAATATACATTGTTCTTCCTGTATAAATAGATATCTTAATAGTGATATTAATATATAAATACAGGGACCACCCCCTACTTCCTAACTCGTAAGACGGATGTTTACTGGGACATTCATCATTTACTCGTAATAAGATGGATGGATACAAACAGACAATGAGTGGAAAATGTAAGCTTTGTTTCCAGTGCGTCTTTTTATAATTAATCAAATGTTTCATTCCCAGGTATACTACAAGCAGGAATGCAAGAACTGCAAGACAGCATGTAACCCGTACAGAGTAGAAGACGTGAAGTGTCCTAAGTGTGGTAAGCCTGCTAAAGAATGTCATGGTATGTGTGACGACTCCGACGACGACTATGGAGGCAATAGCGACTACGACTCCGACGACGGGGATTCAAAAAAGCCTCACCGAGCGGACCTGTGTCAAAAGTGTCGATCTGGCTGGCCGTGTAGGTAAAGGCTTGTCTAGCTCAGTTTCACTCC